CTGCTCCTGTTGCTCTCGTCGAGACAGACGCGGACGAGGGGCCGAATGGGAGTAAGCAGCTCTTGTTCATCGCGGCGCCCGCCGCAGGTGTGTGGGCTGCTTGTGGTTTATCAAGAAGAAAAATCCCCCCTCCCCATATCAAAACGGACATCTGTGATGCAGATTTGTGGCCACAAATCAGCTTTGTCATGCTACACGGGAAAAGATGCGGACCGTAGCGCTGGGTGGCGTGGGAATGCCTTGCATCTTCATCATGACAGGAGCCAGCTGAGAGTGGGAAAGAACATGACAAGTTGCCTGTAGTCGAGGCCATGACTGCGGCTCTTGGCCATCCAGCATGACAAGTCGATCTGTGGCCTCAAATACAGCATCACAAGTTTCGTTTTCGATATGGGGCAGGGGGATTTTTCCCATCGGTATGGTTTTTGGTTTATTTCCTGCGGCTCCCAGCACGCGAGGAATTCCAGCAGCGGGATGAACTGCGCGTTCAAAGTTTTGCTCCCCTCCTCGTGCTGGCTGGCGACGATACCTTGCGGGCAGATCTCGAGTGCCTGCTGCACGTCGTCCATCAAAAGGAAAAACTACCCCCCCCCCATTTCGAAATGGAAGTCTTGTGATGCGGGATTTGTGCACACGAATCGGCTCTGTCTTGCAGTAGAGGACTGCAGACAGATGAACAGCCTGAGTAGGGGCGTTTTGGTGTAGGCGCCTAGCAAGGCAGGCACGTCCTCCATAGGCCATACAGCATTACAAATTGCCCGCAGATCGCGGCGGCGTTTTTGGATTTGCCGTCTTGCAAATTGCCCTCAATTCAGCATCACAAATTTTGACAAGTGTCTCGCTTTGGTATAGGAAGGGGGGACTTTTCCTCGCAATATCGTCCAGCCGGTGTTCGTCCCTGCTCCCTTTGCACATAGACGACACAAACACGACGGGCGCATCGTGTCCGTCATCGAACAAGTACCGGTCGAGGAACAGCATGCCCTTCTGCACGCCGCTGCGTATCTGGATCGCGGTAATGTGTTATTACAATGAAAAATGCCCCCACCCCGGAACTTGCAAAAGTTTCTCATGCAAAGTTTCCAAATGAAAGCTTTTTGTCTTGCATGAAAGGACTACGAGCCTTTCCGATGCAGAATCTAGGTGCTCGTCAAGGTATCTTTTGCATAACAGATCCGGCTGCTGCTGGGCTCTTTTGCAACACAAATTTGAGCTATTCAGCATGGACAATTTGTGATGCTGATATATGCAAGACGGGGGATGTTTCCATTGAAAAGGTTTGCAATACAAGTGCTGCCAAGTTCTGGGGTGGGGGCATTTTTCACTGTAATATGTGCCCCTCGATGTTCACCCCGTGCACCCGCTCGAGATGGGCTTGCACCCGCGCCATCTGGCCCCAGGAGATGCGCCCACCGCCGTCCGACAAAATTTTACCTGTGGTCAACATTTTGGGTTTTAAATCAAAAAGAACTTTTACAACTCTGCGATGGAACTGCTACTGCTGACTACAAACCACTGCACCACGGGGCTTTTTACCCACAGAAAAGCCACGCACTTCCGGCAGCTGCGTCGAGTATCATAATCGGAGCTGGGACAAAAAATGGATGAAAAAGAAACTATCTCCACCCAAGAAGGAGAATGAAACGCTTTGAGTACTATTCGATACCTGTTCGGTTCGATTTTATATCATCACAGATTGTCCTCATCTGTGGTCGGACGATCGGTCCCCTAAACGTCCGCGAAGAGAGGAGCTGAAACCGCGAAAAGAACTTTCCCGGGGACAGCTTCCGCACGTCCTCGTCGGTGTCGTATGGCATATGCCATTTGGCGATCCGGTTCGCGACTTCGAAGGGACTCTCGCCTTTCTCCGGAAAAAATTCCACGTAAAGAAACCTCCAGTTGCTGCAAAACTCGTGGTGCAAACACAACACGACGAACGAGGGGTCTGTTGTGTCTCCTGGTGCACTAGCAGGAACAAGCTCGGTATTGTCATCATCCAAGAGTAGACCTCCACCGGGCCGCATTTGTAGGAAAGAAGAGCTCTGGGTGGAGGTTTTGTTGGTGCTGCTAATCATCGAAGAGTTCTTGTGCCCGCCCCAGCTCGTAGTGGCAGTCCCCGCAAATAATGCGCTGTCCTTTTTAGGAAAAACGCGAAGTAAATTTCCAGTCGATTTCGACGAAACGAAGTTTCTCAACGTGCGCACCACAGTCGGAAATTCGTGCACTTCTCGCGGCCGCTGCGTATACTTCTTCGGCCGCTGCGGTTCCTTCATGTGCTTAAGCTTGGTTTCATCTAGTTCCGCCATTTCTTCGAGCAAACTTTTTTTTGCAGCACGCGAGGGTGGACTTCTGGCTCCAGTGGAGACGACGTCTTCTGGTAGGTCCAACTTGTTGTCCAGCAAAATATTCGGATTCAAAAGGGTACGAGTAACTTCTTGTTCTTCCGGCTCTTGCTTTACTTTTTTCACGCCGCCACCGCCATCCGTGTGGGCTTGTTCAACGGTGTCCTCTACCATCTCGCTCTTCACTTTCGCAGTTCCTGCTGGCGGGGGTCGTGCCGCAGCAACAAGAGCCGCAGGGCTAGTACAGTCGCCGTCGCTACTGTCGGAGAGAATAATAACCTCAATTTTTCGCTTCTTCAAAGCGGGCGCAACAGCAGCAGCCTCCACTTCTGCTGCACTAGAACATGAAGAGTCCGGCTTTTTTTCTACTGCCTCATCCGGGATAATATCGCTCATGAAGATGCCTTCCTTCTTTTCCCGCCGGCCGTCTGCGCGAGCTTTTCTCTCTGCTGCTGCTAGCCGCTTTTTCTCCTCCTGGTTCCGTTTTTTCTCTGCGGCCTTCTCCGCGTCGCGTGTTGTTTTCTCCCGTTTCCACGCCTCGTACTTTGCCAGGTCTTTCTCGTACGTGGCTAATTCCGTCGAAAACTCCGGCCGGACCTCCCAGACGACTGGAGAGATTTTCACTCCGATCACCTTCCGTCCCCTATGCATTGCAAAAGCATTGCATCGCACTAGTATAAATTGCATTACAAATTGGCTCAGAATTACTACTTTGCCTTTAAAAAAGGATTTGCTAATGCATAAAAGCAAGTAGTACGAGTACGATACTTTTGCACAGGATATCCCTCCCTGCCCGCAAATTCCATCAAACGAGTGGAAAGCGCGTTTTTTCGGCCATCGACGCGGGAAAACCCTTCCCGATCCCCGTAGTCGCGTGGGTCGGTTGCAACGTGGATTTGCATCATGACCTTTTCCTCTTCGCGACACAGCTCTAGGCTGGCTTGCTTACGAGGAGCAGACGGCGCGGCTTCTGCAGAGGTTTTCTGATTCATTTTGTTTTTGTTCCCGCTGTTTTTTATTTTTTCATCATTATTTTCTAACTTCATCAAAAACTGCGTGCCGGGGACACCCTTGTATCTGCGCTGCACTCTAGAGCGGAGAAGGGACGAAGGAGGTTGTTGGTGCAGGTGCTGCACTTGTTTTTCAGAAGTAGCAGCCAATGGAACCAAGGCGGTTGTTCTACTGGGATCAAGAACATGATCTTCGGTCTTGATCAACATTTCTTCTTGCTGCTCCTCATCGTCAAGGACCTGCTGCTGCCTTTGCTTCCTGCGATCGTCTTGTCGCTTCTTTGTCGACACAAGATCCGGGAAGAAGTCCCCCAGTCGCTCGGCCGGAGTTTTGGTAGTGCTAGACGTCGGAACGATGGTCGTTACCAGCCGACTGCTCGAGGACGACGAGGAGGAGGAAGACGTTGACGTGGACGAACTACTGCCCCCTCCGCCGGCAGAAAACATAACCCCGACTGCACCTCCACTTTTATCGCTCATCCGCGGCGCCGACGTGCTGCTACTTTGCCCTTCCGAGAAGTTGCTCCCATCGGCATAGAAATACCGTCCGCAGTTTTGATTCCGGGCCAGCAACGTCTTCAAGGCGTCAGAGTTTTTATAAACCTCGTCTGGCACCACCCGCCTTTCCCCAAACCGCTCGCACCAATCGAACTCTTTCGCCTGCATGGCTGACCGCCATACCTTGTACTCCTTGTTCGCCTTGCCCGTTCCGTGCGACAACCCATACGCCTTCCGCTGGTCAAGCAGCACGGTAGCAAAGTCTTGGTCCAGAAGGATCGGCTTGTCGGCGGCCCGCAACAAGGCTTTGGATAGCGGTTGATCCTCGGCTACGGGTGCCTGCTGTTGCAGAAAATGATCCGCGGGTGTCGTGGCAGTTGTAGGTTTCACAAACATCCTCGCTTTATTGTCCACCGGGGACTTTGAGGAAGACGAGGAAGCGCTTTGGCCCCCTCTGGAAGATGAACTGACATTTAACATGATTTTGGTTTTTTTACCATGACCAACCGGGAGGTCGGAAACGGAATCGTCGTCGGACGCAAACAAAATTGGTAAAGAAGTAAATTGCAGGGTAAGTATCAGGTGAAGAGGCGTTACAAGTAGGGTGTAAATTGGATGAAAACAATTGTGGTAGAAGAACTTCATAAAAGATGAACAAAATGTCGCCGTCGTCGTAGTTCTCGATATAGAATTAGAATATTTTTACCAGCAGTCTACTACAATCAATAGTTCTACTGACTTTCCAATATCCACCAATAATTGTCTCTGAAAATACGCCAAATACAACAAAGGTAGAGCAGGTCCGACAACGAGATTCAGCCCCCAAAAAAAACGACCGAAGTAGGCTTGCTTGCCACCACGAGAAAGGGCGAAGTGAAAAGAAAACCGTGTCAATAGCAGCATCACGAATCCTCACAACAGACATCCCTGCCGTAGTACAAAACGGCAGCACAGGTGAAAGTAATTGCGATGATCTTTCTGATTTTATCAGCTCTTGTGCAAACGACGCTCGTCACCAGGATCGACAATCAACATCCGGATCTTGGATTCCGCACACGCCGCCGAAAATGAGGACAGGCACAACACCACCGGACGCCGATCGTAATCGACATAATTCGCAACGGATTTGTCCTCGTCAGCGGTCGATGTAATTTACCATGTTTGACACAGTTGCAAACGCTTTTGCAATGATATTACGATTCGAGATTTTACAAGGTTCTTGCAGTGCCTGGTCTTTACACGAATACGTTTTGGCTTCTATCTTCGTTCTTCCCATAGTTTCATTTTACATGTTGTTTAATCCGTAGCTAGTTTCAAACCAAAAAATACTCACATCTCTTGGAGAATCGGTTGTCATTCAGTATACGCGTTGAGACCTTGACACAGCGTGTACTTGGTGTCAAATGCGCAACTCTTATGATGATAGGTACCCAGTTTAGCAGCCAATGCAAACCGGCAAATTTTCCGCAAAAAAGAAGCCTGAAACTACAAGGATTTCTAGGGCCACGATTCTTCTACGCGTGTCCACCTCCGTCTTCACGCGGCCACCTCCTTACTGCTGCTGCTCTGCTTGCTCCTTTCTGTCCCCGGCGCTGTCTCTGCGTCTTCTTCGTCCTCCTCGTCTCTGCTCGCCTTCTGTTGTTCTTTCCTTACCGGCGTCGTGGACACTACGCTCGCGCCCGCGCCGATTAGTAGTTCCGACTCGGTGCCGGCCTGGGATTTGGAGAAGTAATGGCAGCCGAATATGAAGACGCCCACCAGGATCGCCGCGGCGCAAAACCGGAGCAGCAGGCCCACATCGCGAGAAGCCGCGTCGGCCGCTTTGATGTTAGTTTTGATCACGTCGTATGGTTCTTATTTCGACAGTTCTAGAGAGTGACTTTTCGAAATTTTCACCATTGGGTCTCGCACTGGTGCATATAATATGCTGATACTGATGCAAACAGCAAAACTACTTGACGAGAAAACTACCGCGAGGCCAAATCACTCAAGTACCAGATGACGAAGCCGCAGCCAATCCCTGGGGCCGGACAAGCATCTTTGCGGTCACTTTTGGCGCACCGTCGTCCGCTATGAAATGCAAAAATGTCTGGGTCTGGAAGATTGTAACTTGTGTTGCTGCATTTGCATGTCTAAAAAATTTGTGTTGCATGGGCAGCAAAAGGAGTCTAATTTTTGGTACGCGGAGAGGGCACTTGTGATGCGAAATAGGCATCAAGAATCCCTCAAAAAAGCTGGGATGCTAGGGCATGCATCACAGACATCATGGCTCATGCAAAACGTGCATGACAAGTCCCAGAATCTTCCCGACCCAGACATTTTTTCATTTGATATCCGCCGCCTCCGGAAGAATCTTTCGGTGCAGTTCCGGCGACAGCTTCTTTCCGACGAGCTAAATTTCGGTTCACACGTGAAAGTAAAATACCGGAATGGTATTAGGATTGCTGGTCTCTTTCCTCCTTTGTGTTTTTGCTTTTCATTTGATTCATTTCACCTAGCACCTTGCTACTGCAGAAGTATTTTAGCAAAAAGAGCAGTAATACTAAATATCTTGGTCCAGTCTCCTACTATATACCTTCACTTTCTCCTTGCCCGGAGACGCCGCATCTACGAATGAACCGAGCAAACCTGCCAACGGCACTAGCGCGACTGCGCTCATGTGAGCAAGGACCGCCCCTCGGAAAATCATTCCAAGGATCTCCGCGACGAGAAGAAAGAAACGCACTTGCTTCTACTTGCACCGATCCCGCCTCCCAAGAAGATGTGGTCGTTGGTCTACGGTGCCCTGCTTTTGCAATCACAGGAACGACGGCGCGTCATCGATGTTGTCGTTTTCGGATCATATAAAAGCTCAACTCCGCACCATTTCGGGCTCTTCTATACAACGTAAAATGTTGTAACGGAAGCACGTAAAAGAAATGACTGGAACCATACAAGAACAACGCCACGATAAGTTGAATACTCGGCTCTGACGTCTTTCAAGTGACGTTCCTAAAGTCGCTCTGAAAGGAATCGAAACTTCAACTTGAGATACCAGAGGGAACACATTCCCGAAATCATCTTCATGTCTGCAGATATAATTGCATCTTTGCCCATTGATTCGCGACTGCGAGCGGAGCGGGTTCGTCGTTGTTCTTTCGTTTTCTTGCGAGATGAAGTGGCAATAATCACAAAGATCGTGCGCAACAACATGAATCAAAAATGAATCGCTGATGCCGTGACTGTCGTCTGATAGAAATTCGCTCGCGAAAAAAAGAATACGCGTATCCCAAATCAATATCAAAATTTACTTCCTCCTCCCGCCACCACCGGTTTTCCCCGGGTCTTCTCCCATGTGCGTGAAGAGTTTTTCCAGCGTTTTTCTGTCCACGTCCGCGCCGAAGGCGAACGCCAAGGACGGAAACTGCGCTTTCACAAATTCGCAGGTTTGGTAATTGTAGTACCCATGCTCCTTCGGGGCCAAAATCTTCTCGTAGCATTTCTTTTCCATTTTCTGCAGGTTCAGAATGCAGGGCGCCGGCCGCCAGTCGGGGTTGATGGACAACACGAGAAGCTTGGCTGGTTTCGCTTTTTTCTCGAGCGCGAAAAGCGTCTCGATCATATCACAGCACAGCTGGATCTCCGACTCAATGTAGGGCGGGTTGGCAATTACGGTGAAAATATTTTTTGATGCTTCGTTTTGGTTTATAACTTCATCTACCGCTTCTTTCATTCCGCTCTTCAGACTAGATTTATTTTCCGTCGGCAAGAGTACCGCCTGCTCGAGCTTTCGCTTCTTCGATGCCGGGTCCTCCACGCGACCGCTTTTCGATACTAGCGCCTCTTCTTCTTCCACTTTTCTATTACTTCTCTTCGGCTCGAACTGCTCCGGAAACACCTGCGCCCATTCCACCTCATACAGGCTCCCGAGAGACCCGAACATCGTGTCCAGGTTGAAGGGGCTACAGTACGTGGGCAGGGTGTGGTTGAAGGGCGACGCGTAGGCCTCCACCTGCCCGTTTAAATTCTCCTTCACGAACTCGTACACCGCCGGCCCGAAGCCCCAATAGAGCGAGCCGGACGCAACTAGGTAAGCGAAGGCGGTGGCGAGGAGGAGGTTCTCCGGGTCCTCGTGTCGCCGTGAAAAAGTGGTGCCGGTCGTGGTGTCCTTGTGGAGAAGCGAGGTTTCCGTGGCCTTGCCTTGGAGGATCAAAGTCTGCTGACAACGGTGCAGTAGTTCCTCATATTTCTCCTTGGCCACGGAAAGTTTCAGACCCTGCAAACCCAGCGACGTCGTCGACTTGGCCGGAGCAGTGGTGCTCGCGGTATGACTTGATGATGATGCTCCAGCACGACCCGCACACTGCTCAACATGATTTCCACTGTTCTCTTTCTCCGCAGTGCTATTGAACTGTGACGCAATTTTGTACTCCACCAGACTTTTTCCCTTTTTCTCGACGTGCTTCACTTCGAGCAATTTCTGCAACAGCTCCAACTTGTCGGCCACCTCGTTGCGCCGCATGCTGGCGAGCTCCTGCTTGGAAATTTTCTTCCTGTTTGACGACTTGCTGGACCTGCTTTTCTCCTTTGATCTGCCCCGCTTGTTGTGAAAAGTATTTGCATGATTATCCTCAGAGAGAAGTCTCACCCGGGGTGGAGCGGGCTTCTCTTGCTCTTCACGTTGAACATTTTCCTCGTCCTCTTCCTCTCCGGAAGAGGTTTGGTTTTCGATCCGCACAGGCTGGCGCTCGGGCGAGTAGTCATCGGACAGCAGGCGCACGCGCGGAGAGCTAGGTTTGGAGGAAGAACTTGGTCTATTTGGAACCGCTGCAGCTCCTCGCGCCGGTAGTACTGCTGCACTAGAGGTGGAAGCTGCTGCAGCAGTTGTAGCATGTGTGTTGTCAGCGTTCGTCGAGTTTGACAAAGGAGATTTTTTGACGATATTGTTTTTGTCCGCAAGATCATTTTTCTCGTTCCCAACAACGCCATTTTCCCCGCTGGGAAGTGGTGCCGCAGATGAAGTAGTAGATACCAACTTCCCCTTGTGTCGGAACTGCGGGGGGGAACGAGGAGGCGAATCCGACCCGTGTTTCGCGGTGGAATTCGCCCGTGGCCTCGCGATCTGCCCGGGATGCCGCACGCGCCACGAACTCAGGTGCAGGAGAATGGATTCGTGCGTTGAAAGCACGACTCTGCTGTTGTTGTCACCCGCGGTAGCTGAAACTGAGTCCATTGCAACATCACGACCCTCCGCCACAAGTTCTTGTACAACTTGCGCACTGGTGCTAGACAGCGCCAGTCTTGGCGGCGACGAGGACCCTGGTGCGACGACAGCACCCGAAGATGGTGATCTTCGCGCGGACAATAAAACTGGGCTCTGCGGACGGGAGGAAGCGGACTTGGACGGGTTGGACGAGGAGACCAACGGATAGTGGTTTTTGTAACTCCCCTCCTCCTTGCTGCCCAACAACGACCCCCGCTTGCTGCTGCTCCCAACGATCTTCATCCGCTTCTGCGCCGAGATTTCCGGGCGGAAGCAGCGGACCAGCTGCAGGATGTTTTCGGCTTGCACGGGCAGGAATTTCAGCGGGTCCGGGTCCTTGTACCACCCGTGCGGCCTCCGGAACAAGCCCTGCTCATTTTTTAACTGCTCCTGGAGCTGCATGATCCGCTTCGCCCGCTCCCGGCGCTCCTTTACGTTCTTAGGCGCCTCGAGTTCCGGCGCCCGGCTAAGTGTGTCGGAGAGGAGCATGCTCGTGCTCGTCACAGAGGGGTGTTTGGTCATAGTTCCATTTACTATTTTCGGCGATACAGGACCACCCGTCACAGGACGGTCACGGTTGTTGGTGGCGCCTTGCTGCTCATTCGTCAAGCTGCCCGGAACGATCTTACTAGCCGCGCCTGCCAGGTCCTCGGACGAGTCGGCTTTCACAATGGTTGGAACTGTTTTGCTCGTCGTGGTTGTACCAATGCTTAAAGTAGATTCAGCCGCGGCGGAAACGGCTGCCACCCCTGCCGCAGAACTAAAAACGGCTGCCACATTAAGATCAGCAGCACGATCCGCTGCGGGAGGCCCTCCTCTTGCAGTTGTACTGTTATCCTGCAAGAAGCACTTCAACTCCCCCGGCACGGGTATCTCCTTCTCCTTGAACTCGGCGAGCATTTTCTCGAAAACCTCTGCAAAAGACACTTTCTCGTTCCTGGCGGACACGTAAAACCGGCTGTAAATGTTCGCCAGCTCGTACTTCATGCTGTCCAGCTTGCGCCTCGAAGGCTTGATGTTAGTCATGACCTCCGATTCCGGGCCAAACGCGGCCTCGAATAAGCAGTCACGGAATATCAAATACCGGGCGGACTCGCTGACGGAATCGTCGACCAGGGCGAGCAACTCGTCATCCGTGTTCGTGGTGGGTTTCGACATTTTTTCGAGTATTGGGCTTATTTGGGGGGCGGGAGGTCTAACTCAATACAGGGTGCGGTTTGGGGGTGGGCACTTGTAGAGATTTGTTTTTGCGTATAAGAAGTTGTAGTACTCTTAACAAGGAGGAGGGGCTACTACTTCATATGTCGTCCGCACTGCGGAAACAAATCAGTGGAGACGTATGATCGCTGGCAAAAAAGAAGAAGTAAGTAGCTCGACTTGTTGTGAGAAAATGTGATCGCCGATTGTTGGCCTTTGTTGAAACAGGAACAGAGTGGTGGTGCTGGCAATGATGCATGTAGAAGAAACGAAGATCAATCTCCTGCTGGCTTCAGGTTGCTATGCAGCTCCGCGACGTGTTGATCAAGTCTGTTGTATTCCACTTTTGTACTAGATCACCATACATAGACAAAAATCTCATCGAGCAAAGGTTTCTTTGCCAGGCTTCTACAGCTTGTATCGATTGGTGGTTCATTTTTCTGGATAATTGATCGTCCCACTGTCCATCTATTCACAAACTCGTCGCGCGAGGATTATCGAGCGTGAAGATGATGCTTTGAAGTACAACTTTTCACCTGAACAACCTGCAGAAAAAATGCGGAATACGCAGAATTCGGTCGGGATCAGAAGTGGAAAAGAGAAAAAGTATTCGGGCTGACAACTCCGTTGCGACACCGTCGCTCCACCGCCTGCTGCGCGCAGATGAGCGCCGTAGTACTCGTAGGGTTGGACTAGAGAGGGCCAGGAGGTTGACAGACTTCTTGTCGTCCCCGAGACAGCTCACCTCAATTGCGGCACGAACTGCCCTGCAGCTGCGACCTCTGTTGTACCGTGAAACACAGACCACGGAGGTTGATCAACATGGAAGATCGCGGTGGCCGATTTCGGGAGTAGTGTCTGTACTGCCTTCGCCGCCACATTGCCCCCCTCGTCAGCCATCCATCTTCAGTGTTGGGTTGTTCTGCAAGGCCCGTGTCGCAGCGCACAAACTGCTGAAACCGCCTACGACCAGATGGGAACTGGGAGTCGGTCTATCCAAGACTAAGGACCCATGGAGCTGCGCGGTCGCCAAGAAAGCGTCGGCTGCAAGCTGGGCCCAGGAGACCAGGCCGCCTGTGTTGAGTCGTGCAGTTGTTTTGAAGAATGAGTTATTGTATTTTGCAACTGTGGTCGTTGCACCTAAGTGCTACCAGGGCGACCACTACGAATTCATGTCGTGATGCAGATGCGGACCACGGGTGGGAAAGAAGAGAAATAGACACATCCTGTAAAACATATCTACCTATCCCCGCTCGCTTTATGAGCGCTATTCTGGCCGCCACCGCGACGAACCACACTGCAGAGCCTAGTCTCTGTTCCGAGGTACCGCGCTGGCAGCCTGTTTTTGTTTTTCGTCTTTTTTATCCATCATTTTCATGACATAAGATGAAATGGCTTCTGTTATTTCTTGTTATAATCGCAGAATTATCTGCATGACGACACAAACACTTCATTCATCCGTACTTACCCCAGATGTCTGTGCTGGAGCTCGCGGCAGGCTGCTCTCCAAGAACGACACTTTTTAGTGTCACGCCATCCTCTAGGACATCGTCCGCCAGCATTATCATGCGGTACCCGATCTCCAGCGAAGTTCTGTTTGAAATGAGTATGAGACTTGATGAATTTGTTGATCTTATTACCTTGAAAGTTATCTATGCCTGCAAGCGTATCTTGCACTCGCGTGGCATAAAATCGATTTTCACGACCTATCCCTATCCACCAAAAACCGCAACGCAAAAACAGTACAGCAAGTCGCCCGATTTTATCCTCTTTCTCAGTGCCACTAGGCGAAGGAAGCACGTCCCGAACCAGAGAAAGCGGCACACGCTGCGGAGATTAGTCTCGATCCGCTCTAGCAGCTGCGACAGCCGGTGCCACCTGTACGTTTGTTGTTGGGCATGGCATGAAATCAATTCTAAGGGAGAACGAGAATTATACCGTCCCGGAAATTGCTTCTACTTCACGTTTGACGAATAAGCAGTACTCTTCTCCACACATAAACTTGCGAAGAAAACATGATAGCCAATGAATGTACTTTATGTAGTCCTTCGAGTTCAACTTGTGCTGGTTGCAGCGTATCCTTGCATACCGCACGAGGAAGTACAGCGTTCGTGCGAGCTTTTCCCTCGATTCTGTCTGCACCGGATCGTCCATCATACTGGACGCGGCCATGGTTGGCGGTTGCAGCCTCCGGCCCCCAGGACGGCAGCGAGCGATGGTGGTAAGGCACTACCTGGTGAGCAACTCCAACTTCTACTCCACTCCAGGCCTCTTCGCAAGAATAAACCGCGTATGCGAACGCGGTGGCGCCGGAAGACCTAGCGGAGGTTTACCCGCTCGCGTGAGATGATGTACTTCCGGACTTGTCGGAAACAAGTTGAGCAAAGCTAGCGGAGATGACAAACAACGAAGCAACGTTGCGGGTGACGCTGCGACATCTGATTTTTGATGCACGGTACAATTGCTTCGAAAAGTGTTTTCACTTCATCTCAGGCATCAACTCCGGTACAGAAGACCAAGCCGGTGTTCTTGCGTCTCAGATTTAGTGAGGTGTTGTGTCGTCGACTGATTAATTTTCATCAAACGCAAAACAACGCTAGTACCTAACGCTCCACAGATGCAAAGCAAGTAGAAAAAAAGACGGAACAAATTATGCGCGCGCCGCGGTGCCCGAACAAGCGGGGTCAGCAAATCCGCTTCACTTACCTTCTGCCGCTACATCTATTTCTACATCGTTTTATACGTACTCCATTCATTGTACACCGGTTTCTTGAAAAAGTTTCTGAAGAAAACTCAACTGCGTCCTCTAATGGCAGTAATAACTCACATCCCTTACAACAAATAACGACAGGCACGCGTATAAATAGCGTCTGAAAAAAATCACTCTAGCAAGAATCACTAGCCTTCGGGATGTTGAACATTAGTCCATCAACAAAGGCTCAATGCATTGCTGGAGATCACTACACTTTTTTTCCTGTACTTCCTGCCTGCAAGAACAGCAGTCACCTCTATTCGTAATCCTGACCATCGCAATTATATGCTCAGGAGCAGAAACCAAATTCCGCCCGCGCTTTTCGCTTCTACCTGCTCACGACATCGACGTCCTCCCGCGATGCCAAATTCGTCACCGCGGCCTGCAACGCACTGCCATCCGCGATGTCCCCGTACCGTGCCTCCTTGTGCTGCCACACCAATTTCCCCTGCCCGTCGAACACCATCACACCACCCAGATACCCGATCTGCCCGCCGGACCGGGATGACACCCCGCTCGGCACGTCAAAATCGTGTTTACCGAGGAAGTTCACTAATGCCTTGGGGGAAAAAAACGCCCACCCGCTGGTGGACGGGCCCTGGGTGTCGTGCATCAGCTTGAACCAGTCGCGATCGGGGTCGATTAAGATGGAGCGGAAGGGTGACGACGGGGTGGCAGGAGCGCTCTCGGGAAGTTTAGATGTTGATGAACCACTAGTACAACTGTGCACGATCGGGGCGAGGCACTCCTTGACATTGTCCTCGCTGTCGTCCGCGCCCACGACAAACACTTTGTTCATCTTGTCAGCATCGCCCAACTTGTTGGCGATCAGGTTTGCCTCGTGCAAACAGGGTTTTCAGCCAGACCGGCGGACGAGCATCACCACCGCGCCGTGGGGTTTCCAGAACTGCTGGTTGGCCGGGAGAAAATCCTGGGCCCGATTGAAGGGCCGAAGGACGGAGGCCAGGTTCTGAAACGCACTGGAAGACGACGACATTGTTTTTCGTTCGGTCTTTCGGGCGATTTGGGTCACAGTCACAGTATGGGAAATAAATTCGAAACAATCTACTTTTGGCGAAAGTGCTGTAGTATCAAATAAGGTTTTTCAAAACTCTCTTCTACTCGTATTCGGGTGAAAAAGTGGTCCTACGTCTTCGAAATAAATCAAAAGTAAGAGGCTTGCTCGGTTATGACTTTGTCAAAACAGCCTGACACATCATGGGGTTACGACAGTGAGAATGAAATTTTCAGTTTTTGAGTTCTAGAACACGCGCACCCGGAAACGCTAGGGAAAAAACTACACGTAGACGCTACGTTGTTCTATGATTTTTGCTTTTCTTTTCTTGTTTCGGGTTATTTTTTTTCTTTTGATCTTCTTCCCTTCCTTTTTCGATTGCGCCGGCGCATTTTGGCGTAATCAAAGCCCGTAGAAAAGATCCAGAACCGAAGCCCTGAAAGCTCTCGTCGATCGTTTCCGTTAGTGAAAACAAAAGCAGCTCGGTTCATCAACATCGTGATACTATGCTAGCACTCAAAAGAGAGCGAAGCCACTCGCATCACAGTCTGCAAGCAGCAGCTAGTGATGCCACGATTTGATCCTGCGCTATTCTTATTCTTATTCAAATGTCGCGTAAAAGTTATAAAGTAATCATGTAAAGAGAAGCCGTGTGAGAAGACCACCTACTTTTTAGTCTTCCAGCACGAAGTACTTCCCGATTTCCTTCTGCTCCCGGTCTTTCACGGAGAGCATTTTATTGATCCTTGGTCGGTAATTCGTCGGGTCGCGTCGGAAGGTGATGTCCAACTGCTGCAAGAACTGGTTCATACCCTCGACCAAGCTCTTCGGCGTGGTGGCCGTACACCGCACACCGGGCGTACCCTCGTAGACGATGACGCGATCGGCCAAATACGTGGCCATGATGAAATCGTGCTCGACGATGAAGGCGGTTTTTTTCGCGTGGAGGATGTACCGCTTGATGACTCGCGCGGCGACGATACGCTGCTCGACGTCCAAGTAGGCGGACGGCTCGTCGATTAGGTACATGTCTGCCGGTTTTCCGAGCGCGAGCACCAGGGCCACGCGCTGGAGCTCTCCACCTGTGGACGAAGTTGATGAGGGGTTTTATGTCTTGGGCACTTCTGAGGTGTACTCACAAACAGTTATTCGCTATTGTTGTCACATGCGGGCGTACCTAGCCGAAGTAAAGATCCCGGCTTATATATTGCAACATGCAAAAAAATTCCTCCTGTAGTACCTGATAAGTGCTGCACTTCCTGGTCCTTGATTTGCTCGATCAACATGGGTTTGACCACGTCGGACTGGAACTGGGGATGCAGATACGACTCCCGAATCTTCCCGAGTAGCAACTGCTCGACCGTGCCCTGAAACTTCGCGGTGATGGTTTGCGGCTTGTAGGACACGTTCATCTTCGGCAGCTCCTCCTCTGCCTCGTCAGATTTCAGCAGACCCGCGAGCATTCTGAGATCGTTGGTTTTGGTGAAATTGAGACACAAGTGCAAAGCAATTTACATAACCAAGAGCAACATGCAATTCCTTGTTCGGGACGAAAATGTAACACAACACGGCAACTGCTGCAACAAAAATCAATACTCCGCAGTAGTACCTTATGAAAGTTGTCTTCCCGGTTCCGTTCTGCCCGAGCATGACGATAATTTCACTGTCGCAAAAGTTCCCCGCTTCCACCTCTAATATGAAGCCCTTGCCCTTTTCGCCCATTTGTTTTACCAGCGCGGGGTAGGGTACGTTGTGCATCCGTTCTTTCACAAGGGTGTCGTCGGCGGAGACTTTGAAGGTCAGGGAGACCTCGCGAAACCGCAAGTTCTCCGAGGGGAGAAAACCGTCCAGGAAGATGTTGATGCCTGTTTAGTCAGTTGTCGGAAGTGTTGCAACTTGGACTTTAGTAGCGAAAGCGATGCGTGCTTTCAAAACAGACAGAACAAATTCAAATTTTAAACACGCAACGTGCAACTGCTTGTACACACCGCGATATAGCATCTACAAGTAAACAATTTTAACTTTAAGTTTCTCATACCTTCTCGCACGCTGCTCGGCACGGACACCACACCATATGCGCCGGCGGCGCCCCAGAGACAGCAGACGTAATCGGACAAGTAATCCAGCACGGCCAAATCGTGCTCTACGACAATGATGTAGTTGTCGTCGCGCATGAGCGTTCGAATCACACGGGAGGCCGCCAGTCGCTGCTTTACATCCAGGTAGGAGGAATATCAAATGTAAAAGTGTCTGGGTCTGGAAGAATGCATGTTTGTCATGCTTGTCTGACATGATTCTTAAATCTGTCATGCACGTTGCCCAAGAGCCGCACTTTTCTGTCATGCGGAGACGCAGTTTGTCATGCAGAATAGGCAACACCTACAAGCTCAGAAACTTGTCATGCTGAGCCAGCACTCGTGGCCTCCTCATGCTACGCCACTCAGCATCACAAGTTTCCAGACCCAGACATTTTTGCATTTGATAAGGAAGGTTCATCGAACATGTACACCTGGGCGTCCAGAATCGCCACAACCAGGATGGCGAACCTGATAATGGAAAGTACAGCGTGGTAAAGTAGTCTTGTATCACGCTTATCAGCATTACAAATTCCACTCTACTTAATTTTGGGAAAGTTTGCGAAGCTCTGCATTATACAAGGTAAAAAATACCTTTGCAATTCTCCACCGGATAGGTCCTTCACTTCACGGTCGAGCAAATGGTCAATTTCGAGCTCTTTTGAAAGCGTGTCGGCGACTTTTCTCTCGTCCTTCATTTCCAAAATCTCGCCGACTTTTCCTGCGATCTGAGGTTTTATGAATTTTTTTTTCGGACTAAAATCAATCGGCGAGGAATAATTCCCAGGAGAAATACAGCCGATTTCAATTTCCTAAATGGGAGCGATGTCGGCAACTCGTTTTTTCAAGAAATTCTCGCTGTCCCCGCATCTTCCATAAAAAAAGATGAGCAATCTTATACATACCTTGTTCTTAAGCTGATCGACGTACTGCAGCTTGATTGTTGATTTGAGTTTGTCTTCCAACATCCTGCTAAAGAACGCCTGCAGTTCGCTTCCCCGGAAGTGCTGTAAGATTTCTGACCAGTCTGGTGGCTCGTCGTACCTGTTTTGAAGTTTGTGTGGTCGTCTTTCTTGAATAACCAACTTCTAGTCTACCCGACCACCAGCGCAGTGTGGTACGAACAATCTGTCGTCGCATGCATCGCCAAGCATGCAGCAGAAACAGCCGATGGAGAAATAGTAATAGAGTCTGCAAATAAATTCTGCTAAGCGTACCTTCCGAGATTTGGCTTCAATTTGCACGAAAGGACTTTCAATGCGGTTGATTTTCCGATTCCGTTGGTTCCTACTAAACCCAGCACCTGCCCGGGTCGTGGCATGGGTAATCGGTGGAGCTTGAACGTGTTTGGCCCGTATCGGTGCGTGGTTTCCTTACCTAATTTTTTGATTTTTTTCTCATCGGGTAATTCATCTCGGAAGGATAAAGCACGGTAGTACCGCCCGCATCTTGCTACGCTCGATTGTCAAACGGCGTCAGAAGTTTCTTCTTCTGAAATATGTTGAAATAACAAATATCATTATACCCAAGTCCTTCGGCAAGTTGATGATGTTGATTGCCTCGAAGGGGCACTTCTTGACGCAGATACCGCAACCGATACAGAGTGACTCGGAGATCCATGCATTTTTGCTATCCCTGTCTGCTTCGACGCACATCTTCCCGGTTCTTACGACCGGGCAGTATTTCTTGCACTCCTGCTTGCACTTTTTCGGCTTGCACCTGTCTGCGCTGACGATGGCAATACGGAGCTTCTGCTCCGCGTCGCCGCCCTTGGCGGTTTCTTTCTTCTTACCCATCGTTGATGTCCTCGGCTAGTAGTTGTTAATACGGGTCGACGTCCTGTCGTACTGGTTTCCTGTACTAATTCCGATAAAGGCGCGCGCCTCTGCCCCGTCAGAGGCCGTTCCGGGACGCGGCCAAAAACTTTTGGCGTATTGGGTTGTCTTAGGCGAGGAAGAAAAAACTAATGCTGTTTTGATTTTATTTACTATGCACTTCGTGTGACTACTGATAGTACTATGTGAAATTGTGCTCTACTTTGTTGTGGTGTTCTAATTCATCTGCACTCTGCAGTGCTCCTATGCTCTAGGGTGAAACTCCTTTCTTAATCCACTGTTGGTGTACTGTTGTCTAGCAGGCGAGGATTTGAAAATTTTTGAAACCAATCTGCTCGGCCTAAAAAACGATTTTCAACGAGGCGAGTAGACCTAGACATATTGGGCGTCTTCTATAATCGGTTTATACATTTCCTAGCCCAAGAGAAATCGATCCGCGGGTTTTGTAGTTGTGCTGCAGCTCGTTATTCATGAAGTCAAGCTGCAGTGGTCTACTTGGATATGATTTTGCATCTTCGGTCAAGTTCGTTTGGAAAAGAAGTAGAGATCATTCCAGATTAGAGCGTGGCAATCAATTGATTCGGTCGCGTCTAAAGGTTGGGTCGACGCGAGCAGGTTCTGCGCCTTTGTCTAAAGTTGTGATCTTCACAGCCACGAAGGGGGAACTTCTAACTCATGAAGCAACTGTAAACAAAGTAATTTAAACTTAAAAGCAATTCGACTAGCAAGTAAAATAAATCAAATCAAGACAATTTGTTTGGATTTCTGTTTGTTTCTAGCGAAGAACATTCACTTGTTGAAGAAGTCAGAAAAAAGTGCCTTTTTGCAGCGATGAAAACAACTGCAAGAAACCTTCGAGCTTCTTTCACTTTCTTTTCTTTGAATTATTGCGTCGCACTTCTTTGCAACATTTTTTCAAGAAAAACCTATTCTGCCTACTAGGATTCGCTGTTTATTATCTTTTGTTGTATCCTTTTCAGCTCTGCTTTTCTCTGCTTGTTGAAGGCACCCAGGCCTGCTGCAGAGGTCGATGCAGCGCCAAATTTGGCGTCTGGCGGTCCCGTCCTCTTCTCTCCCCGGCTGTTTAGCGATTCCCGAGCGAGGCACATGTAGCTAATGAAGTTGCCCGCAAATGCATCGCGGACTAGCTCTGCGTCAGGTGGTGGCCTGAATAAGTGATTTTGATTCTTCATACAGAAAGCCTGCTTGTGGATGCTAGTATTGAATGAATCCTATCATACTGAATAAGTCCTATCATAGCAGACGCAGAGAGGCCGACGAAGCAAGGAGCATGTTTCTCATCGCACAAATTACAGTTTATCACCTGCCGACGTCCACGTCTTCCTGCACAGCGGGTTCATCGGCGTCGTCATCTCGGCAATCAACAATCAGCCTGCCACGGCTCTGCTGTCGTATGCGATAGCCTGACAGTGTTTCATCAGTGGGAGTGTGCTGGGCGCTGTGTAAGTAAAAACGATACCAGGAGTCGTGTGTAGTGAGTCCTCTCCTCAAAAAATCCCTGTTCAAACAAAAAAACCGCCTCTTCGATGTAGTACCACTGGACTCCGACTTCCCGACTTCCGGCGACCTGGATCGCCCCCGGTTCGTCTCCCGGAGCCCGCAGTCCGCTCGCAGATCCCGGGTTTTCCGCGGCCCGAGGCCCAGCTGCGGAAAGTTGCGCTCCTTGGATTGCTTCGCGAGCCGCTCGAGCGGCTTCAGCGCTTTTTCTGTGTTCTCCTTTTCCGCCTCGCTGATGCTGTCCACGTCTTGCACAACCCACTCCATGATCTTCTTCTTCGGCGACGGGTCTGACGGCATTATTAGGTTCTAGTTTTTCTTTCGCAAGTTTTTCTCCTTTTCCAAATTTCTATGGTCTACTCTCCGCTCTAAAAACGACGCTCCGGTGTGGTCGAGCGCAGCAAGCCCGTACTTCTTTTTCTTTCAAATGCTAGTCGCAAGGAAATGCAACCAAGCACCGTCGCTTTTGCTTCTCACGACCAGAATTCCCTCAAGAACTCCGCTCGATGCGATTGTAATTGTCAGCTATGCAGAAGGACACTCGTTTTCATCTCAACGCAAGTTGAGAGATGAACAGGCATGCTGATGCTTTTAGAAATCTGTATCAGAGGTGCTATTGCACTCCCACGGGAAAAGCATGATCGTTTGTTATTGTTACAGTTTTCGAAAAAGACACTGTTGGCATGATAGTTGGGAGTCAAAATCGAAAACAGCTGCTACTTTTTCCTTATATCCTGAGTTACGAATGCAACGAATGTGCCGAGATCGTAGTCGCGAGACGGCCTATTAAAGTTTTCTGTAGTCGTAGTTGTGCCTTGTAAGAAAGCAACTTTTTTGTTTCAGAATTCGGTAGTGCGCGAAATTCAGCTTTTTACGTCGTCAAAGTGACGACTTCTATACAGGGTGAAACGAAAGAGCTAGGATACGTTTTTTTCAAGATCATCGTGCACTTAAACCGCTCAACAACTCGACAGGCAATTCCTGCGAAAAATAAACCACTCGTAGAAAATTTACTAAATCAATAGATAAACCGCTCGAAAGATGGTGAAAACATTTGGTCGTGTCGCAAAAATTTTAATACTCGGTTTGGTCATGCCACTCGGTCGAAAAAGAAACTGGAGATTACTAAATACATTCGTAAACCACTGCTATTAACGCCCAGGATCATAGTCATTTAGAGAAAATCTTCAATCAGTCACACAACATCATCATTGTCACATTTAGTACACCGCCGGATGACTTTTATTTCCGTGAGGGCCTCTTAAGAGCCACAGTCAGTCGTGATCGGGACAGCACCGCTTGACCCACTCGCCGTTCTCATCCACTCTGCCCCCCGTCACCATTCGGTTCGCGCCCTTCTTTGCCAGTCGTTTCATTTCCTTCTCCGCCTTCTTCTTCGCGTACTTCTCGGAATCCGCAAGACGAGAAGTAGAGCTGGATGCCTGCTGCCCTCCCCCGACACCCGCCTCCAACAAAGCCCTAGCGACAACCACCCCGCCGCTTCTCGCTCCGGCCAAGTTCAGCGCGTCGGCACCGAGCTGCAACTGCGCAAACGCGCTATCAAATGCAAAAATGTCTGGGTCTGGAAGATTGCGAGATTTGTCATGCTTGTCTGGCATGACCAAAAAATTTGTGATGCGTGTCCGAGAAGAGACCCTTTCGCATGTCATGCAAAAACGCAGTTTGTCATGCGAAAAACGCAACACAAAGAGGCGCAGATATTTCTCATGCTTGGCTGTGCATTACAGAGCATTCATTATTCCGAGCGCAGCATTACAAGTTTCCAGACCCAGACATTTTTGCAATCCATACGCGCCCATCACGTACAACGGCACGTCCTTTGCCCACCGGAGATCGGGTTGGAGCTGCGGCAAGCCGTCGATGCAGGGGATGGGGTGTTGTTTTTGGAGCGCGGCGAAGACGGGCACCAGCTCCATATCAAAATTCCCCCCGGTCGCGAGCCAGACAAAGTCGAATTTTTGCAGTTTCCCGTCCTCAAACCGGATGTGGATTTTTTGGTCGGAGGAGCACCAGTGTGCCTGAACCACCTCGTTTTCCTCGGTTAATTCCAAAGAGCCCATTTGCCTCTTCTCTCCCTCCTCGTCGTCGAACTTGTCGGACGAGCTTCTCGACCGAGATGACATGTTGATCAACTCCGAATAGGTGTCCGCGGACATGCTGCCGCCCGCCCGGAGCTTCGCGTTGAACTCTTTTCTCCTCCGAAAGTCCTCCAGCTGCCAAAACTTCTGCAGAAAGTGCGGCCGGCGATATCCCACGTACGCGACGTCGACGTCGTAGGGCTTCTTCGTGATCTGCCGCCGCGAGCAGAGCGTCACGGCGGCGCAGCCGCGGACCAGGGCGAGCTGGGCTAAATGCGCAGAAGTTTGTCCGCCACCGACCACGAGAACCTTTCGGTTTTCCAAAACTTGTTTGGAAATCGGTTCTCGCAGCCAGTTGCTGAGCGCCTGCGAGTGCTGCATGCGGTGGGGGATTGGAATCGGGATTTTGGAAGAGGAAGAGGAGGAGCGAGTACTGGCTTTGGTGGTTGCTGTTGGGCTTTGTCCATCTTGAAGGAGATCATTTTTCTTTGGGCTACTTTCCTCCGACCTTCCATCCTCCGCGTCAAACTCGTCCACGATGTGATACTCCTCCGCGTCCTTTCCCGCTGCGGCCAACGCTTTCTCCAGCCCTTCCGCCCACCACGGCAGGGTCGCGCGCATGCCCTGGAACGCCGGACCCGGGCCCATCGCGCAGACGACGTGCTTTGCGAGGAATCTTCGGCCGTCGGCAAGGAAGACCTCGGAAAGTTTTTTGTTGTTCTTTTTCATCCCCGCCGGATTATTAGCCAGGCCAGCCGCAGATGGAGAAGGCTCTGTTGTCGTGCCGTTTGGCCGTTGTGTTCTTGTTTCCAAAGAATCTAGTTCAAGATCTTCCGGGCTGGCGGTACTGACTTGGTCCTCGTCTAGAAGATCATTCTCCTCCAAGATCCGCACCTCCTGCACGGTTCCCTTGGTCACGACGTCCCCCAGGCCGTACCGATCGACCACGTTCGCGCAGAAGTCCAAGAACAATTTCGTGCTCGGCGTGACGAAGGGCCCGTAGTAGCCCTTGTGGCGGCACTGGTCGCGGTCCACGCACCGCATCTCCCGGAGCTCCGCCTCCCGCCGCTGCATGTCCGCCCACACGGCGAGGGCTTGGAAGTCGTGGGGGTCCGGGTGGAGGTGCTCGTGTGACCGCAGGTGGTGGATCCCGAACGCGTCGAAGTCTGCCTCCCACTGCGCCATCCACCGCCCGTGCGTGTCCACGACGAGGGTGGAGGTGGACGTGTTTTCAAATTTTTTCTTCAAGTGATTCCGGACCTGCGTGAACGACCGGAACCGCTTGCTGTTCTCCATGATGTAGCTCCTCTCCAACTCGGTCATCAAATCGGGCTCGTCGTCGATCAGCCGGGTGAGCAGCGACAGCGCGTGCGGCCCGGCGCCGATGACGAGCAGGTCGAGTGGGGTCGGGGGCTCCAGGTCGGTCAGGGACGCGGTGGTCTTCTGGTCGCACGGGCAGTCGGTCCCGCAAAAGGAGCTGCGCGAGGAAGACTCCGTCGCGGTGCCGGAGTCGCGCCGGCCGCCGGCGGAGCTGCTGCACGACATAATTCTGTATCGCGAAATAAAAGTGGAACCTCGGGACACTTGTTGTACGTCTTGGTCAAGGTATTTGAGTGTTGTGTCTCCCAGTGTCGCTTCCAGTTCACTGGCGTGGGTGTCCTACTTCTAAAGACTAGAAATCCTCGGGCTGATCATAGTACTTAGCAGTCGAAAAATAATAAATTTTGTGCGCGGGAGAAGCTTTCTCAATCCTCGTAGAGCAGTTTTCAGTATGAGCGAAAAATTTCATCTGAGATTTTGGTCCGCTCCTTTGCTTCGGGAAAGATGAGGCACCATGACCATTTTTACCTGTGCTGCGCAGGGGTGAACACGCGACAAACGGACCATCAGCACCGGGCTTCGTGTCCCGCGTCTAAGGATCTGCGTCCGAGCCTTTCTTGTCATTCTGATCAATGATCGATCGCCTTTCCTGCTCTCCTAAAGTCAGCGCGAAACGACCACGGTGGGGAACTGCGAGCTGGCGGGACCTTCCCGATGGAGTATTGATGCAAAGCAGAAGTGGACAACGAAGACCAAGTGGCCGAGCGCCTCCTTGTGGCAGATCGCGCGGCCCAAGCCCGCACTTATATTGTGGCGCAGAGATAAACCGTGCCACCCTGCCAGCCCGCAGGCTATTTTCGCGAGTAGCCGCGGCCCGACAGAGGCTCCGCCGTTCCGCTAATGCCGCGACGGCGGGAAAGGACCACCGCGAGCCGCGGGGCCCCTGGGTATCCTTTTTTATTACCGAGCCGGACCCGGCGGTCGCGCGCAAGAACGGCGGGGCCGAGTTTTGGGCGTTCCCAAAAAAGCCGCCCGGACGCGGGCACCCTATGCGCGGGACGCCATTCCAGATTGGCCGAGATCCGCAGCTGCCGCGCGGTCTGGTATGCACAATCTGGCGAGCGATAGCGCCATGAAAAGCCGCGCAAAAGGTTGCGCGCCCCTCCCCGCGCAGGGGGCCGCTTTGTAAAGTCACCGGCCTGCGTCGCGAGGTCCGTGAAGTACCTGGTAAGCGAATCGGATAGCGATCGCGGGCCGCGTCTGCTGAGATGCTTAGCCTCCGCGCGGCTGACGCGCTGCCCTAACTCCGCGCCTGGTTCCCCAGTCATTTTCCGCGGGCTGGCACTATACTTCTGCATCGCAAGAAGATACGGAGCCCCTTGCTAATCGATAGCGCTTGTTCACGCCAGACCTAGGCGGCACTGCAAGCATGCTCACTGTCCGTTTTAGAATAGGCTCCTACGTTGGGACCACCGCCATCCTCCCCTTGGTCAATCCAAGTTTTTCAGGAATTCTGAAAAAACATGAAAAAACAGGCGCCACAAGTTCTCAAGGGATAGGTCCAAAATCGGAAGCAAAACAGCTGGAAGCGCAATCTTTTTGTATCTTCAATCGTCCATCAAAGGTTTGCACTTCCCAAAACCTTGAAAAATTACATGTCTCAAAAAATGACAAAAAATTTCATTTTTTCAAAATTTTCAGAATTGAAGAAAATTGGCGATATTTAGCAGTGTACAAGAGGATTTGTGGGCACATCTATCCTATAGCTACTTACTAACAAGATGAATTATGAGAAATATTCTACATATTACGCAACTCAAAATTTTTGATTAGCAGAAATGTAGGATATTTCGATGGTGATGCGGGTGCTGCGCAAATTTCTACCACAAATAAACCACCAAGCGGGAATTTTATGGAGTCAGATCAACAGCTACCCCTTACCGGCGCGGTGCTGGCGCTTTGTGTTTTTCCTGGTGGAATTGAATTTGGCGGCTGCGGTTGGGAACAGTTTGGCGGCGGTCATTCTGGGATCTTGCGGTATGTTCCTGGTCGCGCGGGAATATGCAGTGAAAGCGAGGTGGTGGAACCAGTCCAAGCTTTTCCGGGGAAGTTTGCGTTGCTTTTGCACCGCAGTAGAAGGTTGTAAGAAGGCGGAAGAAGCAAGGCAAAGGAACTGCTGCTATTTTAGAACTAGTTTTATTGCATTTCTACAGTTTTGGTATCGCACTATTTGTAGGTCGTTTCGCACTACGTTTCGATCTTTGTTTCGCACTGAAAAATGCACTACTCGCAAGGAAAACAGGCTTTTTCTATCTCTTGTCGCACTGTGTTTCAATAGGCTTTGACCGAACAAATACGACGTTGCAAAAGTAGAATGCCATCGTTTTTTGAGCGAACAAGTTAAGTATTTCGGTCTACTTTCTTCGAACTTACCATGCAAAAGAGCGAGCAGAACGCAAGAATTCGGACCTTTTCTTAGTTGTTTTTGATCGTAGACAACCAACAAACACTACTAGAAAACACGGGAAAGAGAGACTTTTTGTTGCTTGTCACTTAGCAGGAAAAGCGAAGGAAAGCTGAGAGAAAAACTCACAAACTAACGATGATTTTGCCCTTTGTTTATGTGCGCCGAGGTTGGCTCAAGATTACTCTTGACCTTCCGAGGCGAAGAATTAAAACCAACGATAGCAGGCTGAAGAAACTTTTTTGTTGTTAAGGGAAACAACGAACGCGGGTTCTAGACTGAAAGGAAAAGACGAAAAGCGAATCGGTTGAAGCAAAAATCAGTGTACATTTGAAGTCGGTTTTGGAAAAAAAAAGCATCTCGCTTTGATCGATCGCTGAAAGAAAACAGTTTAGGATTTCTAATATGGTGAGGACGCAGAGCGGCTCGGTGTAACCGTTACTACACGCAGCAGAAGACGACTTCACCTCTATCGACGATTCCGTCGCTTCGAACAATCAACAACACGGTGCGAAGGTTTTTCGCACCTCTACTCGAACTTTCTGAACTACGACGTGTTTTAGCCCGCATTTTGCGACGCGTTGAAACACTACTACACCTGGCAGCATAACCATGGGCTGCCTGGACTTCCTCTGCGGTGCGTCGGACAAGGCGAAGATGACGCTCCTGGAGAACGGCGCGTTGACGGAGCTCGCGTGCTTGCGCCAGGAGTTGATCTTGGCCCGCGACGACAACCGCGAGACCAAGCAGAAACTGCAGGAAATGGAAAACAAAATGAAGAACTCCACCCCGGACAACAGCCCCGTGTGCGAGGATGTCGATGACGACATTTTATCGCGTCTCGAAATTCCCGCTCCCGCGTGTTCTTCGTGCGATGTGGAATTGCTGGACAAGTACTCCAACTTGCTGGACAAGTTTGAAGCGCTGCAGAACAAGCATGACGCTTTTGTCACCATGATGGAGGAAAAGATCAAAGAAGCAACTCCGGCGGAGCAGAACAAGAAGATCGCGCCCCGTGCGGGACAGCGCATTACCCGGATGGACTGGCAGGAGATTAACGAGGTGATCCCGATCCCCGCCAAGGAGTTAACCAAGCTGGATGAGAAGAAGATCGACCTGTTAAAGTTCCCGCCGAAGCGAGCGGAGATGTCCCGGCGCAGCTGGTTCCGTTCCGTGCACAGCTGGGCGAAGAACCAGCGCAAGGTGGGACAAACGAATGAAGACATCGGTCAGGCCGTGTTGGACTACGCGCTCAAGGAAAAAGATCCGGAGCGCGGTCATGCGGAAGGCGCGGATACCACCGATATCGTGAAAATGATGACTACGGTCGAACAGCGCTTGGCGCCGTATGCCCGCAAGGTCTCTTCGATCATCACGGACAACTTGCCCATGTTGAAACGCATGGACGGCATCAGTCCGCACGACTTCCTCTCCAAGCTGAAGAAATTTTATGAACTGGAAGATGAGATCCGCCCGGAGAAGCGCCCGGAGACGGACCGCGTCGACCAGGCGTTGAAATCGCTTTTGATCAAGGAATCCACCCGCACCACGTTGCGGACTTTGATCGACACGGACGGTCGCGAGTACTGCATGGAAACACTGCTCGACGAGACCGACCGCATCGCCAGTGATGACAACTGCCGCTACAACCCGCTGGACGACACCCACTGGAAGAACGACGTCGGCGAGAGGGACTTGATGGATGTTCTGATGGCCGCGGTCAAGGGAGAGTCGACCAGCTCCTCCACCATCCCGAGAGGAACCGGTGGTGGTGGAAACCCAAACGGCGGTGGTACTGTGAACCCGAAGAAAACCGGGGGAGGAAAGGGATTTCTGACTGACACCGGAAACGGAGAAGGGGGAAACGGCGGTAACGGTGGAAATACCAATCCGCCGGGCGGAAACGGTGGACCCGGGATGAAGAGCGAATGCAAGTTTGGTGACAAGTGCCAGAACTTGCTGAAGCGCGGAACGTGCCGGTTTAACCACCCGAAGAAGGAACGCATGGCCTTGATGTCGCTGTGGAAGAAAAACTTCCCGGAGGAAGCTGCGGCGCGCGAGGAATATGTGAACAAGATGAAGAAGATCGAGGGTGAGAAGAAGCCCGCCGGCGAGGCCGCCGGTTCGACGATCAATCCGTGAATTGTCACACCTCCGACGCACGGATCTTCGGAATCAGGAGTGGCTACTGACTTTGCGTCGGGAGAGGAAAACAGTAGTAGAAAAACAACCAACAATTTCTGGAAAAACAAACTATCCGCATTGAAAAATAAACCCTCCAGCACCACCGGAGCTTCTCTGTGTTCCCACGGGAGAAGCGCGCCGATTGTGCAAGTAAATGTTGAACTTTCTTTGCCGTGCGAGCACGGAAAACAACGACCACCTACCTGTTCGTCGTCCTCTGAAGAATCGAACTCGGCGAACGAACAAGCTCAATTTTCCGCGGAGCAGCAAACTTCGCATGACAAAAATTCACCTTCCCCTGCTGCTGAACAACAATTCAAAATCCAGCAGCCGGTTTCTGCTCCCCATGTGGAGCCACACGAGAACTTACCACCCCGGATTCCGCCTCTGCAGTTTTCTTCCTCAGACGCGTCCGCGGTGGATCCTACACTACGCATTCCCACGGTCTCCTCTACCTCGGACTCGAACAAAATTTCCATCGTGTCCAAGTCGGAGCCGTCACAAGTTTCTGTTCAGTCAGACCAGAATCAAGCATTGCCATGCGGCGCAAGTCGAGGGGACTCTCACAGGTCCTTTGTTTTAGATGAGCCCCCGCATGCAACTGATCCTACCGATCTTGCATCAAAAATTAAACAGCCCTCCATGCCTTCCTATCCTGAACTGTCCCGCGAGTCCAACATCGTCGGGAAGTCCGAAGACGCTACGTCGGATGGGGGCCATGTGATGCGTAACAGCGACTCCTCGGTTTCTGCGGACCGCATTACGCTGCCCTCCCAGTTTCGATCACCGCGGAAAACGGTGAGAACAAGTAACCGCGGCACGGCGAAGAAGCGTGAGCTCACGCTCTCCAGTCGATTTGCGGCGCTTGCAGGTGACGATCCAGCGGAGGAAGAAGATGCCGTCGTAAAGCAGGAACCTAGCGACGGGAGTATCCAAATCAAAGATGAAAATTTGTCCAGTGACGTTGTCATGGATGAGCCAACCCGTGATCGGGAGCCAGGTGATGCTGTGCTGCGCTCCACTTTGTCTAGTGCTAGTGGTAGCTCGCGCGCGTCGCGCAATACAAATTCTGGGAGCAGTGGTTCGGGAGTGCGCACTCCAACTCCACGCCCGGGTAGCAAACAGCACAAGCGGTGGCTTGAAGGTGTAGCTCCTTCAACCAACTTTTGCGACCCTTCAAGTGACATCCGCTACAGTTTAAAACCAACAATAATCCCGAACGAGCCCACGTTGGTGCCCGTTTTGGAAAGTAGCAGCGAAGAAATAGCCGGCACAACAGTTTCTAACTCCTCCGCGCCCATGTCGAGTTCGGAAAAGGAGACAACCACTTCGTCTGCAAATCAGTATCGTCCTGCGCCTCGCAGGAAGAAAAACAACAACAAGGGTGCTGGAAAAGGACCATATGGAAAAGCCTCTTCCCGCAGTCCTGCAACAAAAAAAAAAGCGGCAACATTTACGAAAACACTGCCGCCACAGCCAAGACCTCCAGCTGAAGCTCCCGCGGCTAGTAGTCGCGTACTTCCAGGAGAAAGTAATCTGGAGCTTGCGGCGCGCTCGTCCGACTTTGACAACTTAGTTTCGGACATCACCGCAGTAAAATCGAATTCAAACCAGGCGACGAGCGGCAGTTCTGCATCATCGGAGGACCAGCTGTCCCAGCCAGAAAGTAACAACGAGCCAAACCCGGAAACGGCGACAGCTCGCAGTCAAGTTTCTCCTGTTCTGAGTAACAAGCGGCCGAAGCCCGCGTCAGACCAGGAAGAAAAGCAAGGACAGTCTCCGAATCTACTTACAAGTCGAGACGAGTCGCGATTCGGAGACAAGAAGCGAAAATTTGCGCGGGGTTTCTTCTCGAAGAAAGTCCGGAAGTACGGCGAAATACTCCACAACAGGAAGAAGGAGTTTTTAAAGCGGCGCGCAGGGGGACTTGCAGGATTAGATTCCGACTGCAGTCATAACACCGTCCCTTCATCCTTGCGCCCGATTTTACAAGAACTAACGAACGGCGGGATCTACCAACCAGAAGATCCGGTGCAGTTTGGAACCATGAACAACGACCCGGATGGAAGCTCCGCACCAACAGCGAACGAGCGGGCGCGGCTCTTCTATCGGATAAAAAATGAACCAGAACCAAGAATTTACA